CCACTGACATGCCATGAGTTGCACATTTTGAATGCAATTATAAGTAATTATTAATTTAAAAGGTATTGCGATAATGCATGAAGTATCATAATTACCTACAATAATTTATATTACATATATAAAAATATACCTACCAGACTTTTTCATTCTAATTATAATTTCAGAGAAATATTCAGAAAACTATTTTAACCTTTTTATATAAACAATTACAAAAACAAAAAATAACTCATTCATTCAATACTTCTATAATTCAGTGTAGAGAAAACCAACCGATAGAATTCAATTTCTTATAATTAACACATTTAGAATAAAGTATACAATAACCTACTAAAAGTTATATAATAAGAACATAGTAAAACTCGAGAAAAACATATTTTCATTTATAACTTTTTATTAAATCGCTCCAATTGAAATCAAAGATGGGTGTTCAAAAGTCTACCTCATACTCTACGAAATCCTTGACTAGATCGACGGATGAAACCCGAGCTATGGGTTTCAAATTCTTTCCCTTTCTTTCTCTCTCCTTCTCTTCTCCTCTTTCTCTTTCTTCCTCAACAAGGTGGTGAGGGTGAGTGGTGAAAATGGTTTAAGATATTTTAAATATAAAAATTTTCATTTTGCCTTGGTACCACAGCGCCAACCCTCCCAGTACTGCTACGTCCAAAAGTATATTCCAAATGCTTCCAGATTCCTCAAACCTAGGAGTTGAGCACCGCAATGGCGCTACCCAGCTCTGCAACACTCCCTCAAAATCTTCTCCAAAAAAAAGAATACGCCGCAATGCCGACCTTCACCGTATCACGGTGCCCTTAGAACTTTTTGACTTCTCATGATTCATCTTTCCCTTTCTCTTTCTAACCCTATTTAGAGTCAACAAAATATGACAGAGCTCATTATTGATGATTAGAACAAGATCAAGTAAAAATTTATACAATTTTAAGTTAATTACCTGAGTTAAGATGTGACAAATGTTACATAATAAAGGCTAAACTAAAAGAAAATAAAAATATATAAGATAATGACTCTTAGTATGGATTTCCCTAGACATTTTTCATACTCTGACTAGCTTGATGGGAGATTGCCTCTTTTGATCTTAATTATCTATCTCAAGGCAAGTTAAATAATGTGCAGTTCTTGAGGGCAAATCTTCTACGAGTGCTAAGCTAAGATGGCCATAGCGATCTAACATCCCAAGGTCATTGGTGATATGTGGCAGAGCTTTGGGTCACTTAAAGAGTAGAAGGGAAGTGCATTTGAGTTGTGAAGATGAGGGGCTCCGTGGTCAGCCAACTATTATGGGCGAGCTGAGACCTTCTTAGATAAATGTTTTCCTATAACTAAGATAGAGAGCACAATTGGCAGTGCTTCATCTGGATAATGGCAAGTGACCAACCCTTAGTGAGGATAAGTGGTGAACCGAATAATTCATGAGGATCCTTGATTGTCCTAGTGAGGGGCGACTCCCTCTAAATGTTCTGTCAAGCTAGATCGTATGGTCCCTAGGCGAGCCCCCTCATGAGCCCACAAGGTACGAGAACACATGTTATGAACAACTGACTCCTTGTCAAGTACTTGAAAAGACATGTGAGTACACATTGGATTTACTTTCCCACGAGCTCTTTAGCTTTTGGAGGGTCAATTCCTATCTGAAAACCAAGCACAAGTATATTGAGGGATGTATATTGCCTTGTCTTGGAATTACAATGTAATCCCTTTATAACTCTTGTTGAATAATAAAGTGTTCCCGCACTCATTATAATGAATAGACCACTACAAATCTAATTGTGAATCTTTCTTGAGGGCACTCAATCTTCCCAATAAACTGAATGATTACTCTAGTTAACACACTTTCTTCAACTAGAATTTAGAACCACTTGCAGTCCAAATTATCTCAACTCAAATGTCTTTTGTAATAGTCCACATAATACATTTGAGTTAAGATGCGACAAATTTGAAGTATCAAATGTCTTTTGAAGTATCACTGTTGAACATTTTTTTGGGTTGTATGGCACTTTGGGCTATCGGTTTACTATTACTGGCTTAGGGTTTATTGTTGATGCTGTCTTTTGTAATTTTTTGTCTCTGGACGCCGATTCAGTTCCTGCATGATCTTGAATGAACATTTTTTTGGGTTGTTGGTGCTACCTTTTGTAATTCCTTTTGAATGATCTTCATTTTTTTGGGTTGTTGGTTTTTTATCCTGAGCCCAACTACCACAGTATACTTGTTTAATTAAGTTTATTGCAGTTATATCTCTAAGACGATTGGTGATTGAAGAATGATGACAGGTTGTCAAATTCAGACATTCTTGGGGGCTGGAGGCTGGAGCAGTTGAGTCTGAACCATTGAAAGCTTGAAGAGTTGAAGTCTTGAACCTTGAAGCTTTTATATTCAGTTATTTACATATGTTGTAAATGGGATAATTAAATTAGCAATTGATATTTCTCTTATTTGATATGTGAGATTGTATCTTTGTAATTGAGTAATTGTAACATGTAAATTAATTGCATATTTGTAATTGAAAAAATTTGCCCTTGGTTTTTTACTTTTCAGCCATTTAAAACATGTTTAAAATTTTTTAAAGTGCAGCCGGGTCAAACGGGTCGGGTCGGGTTGGCCCGGACCCGAGGCGGGTCGTGTTAGGGTCAGCACAAATGACCCATTTCAAGAAACGGGTCGGATTCGGGTTGACCCGAATGGGGTCGGGTCAATTTCGGGTTAGACCCAAACCCGACCCGAAACCCGTTTTTGACAACCCTACTAGTAGCTTTAATTTCTAATAGACTCATGCGTTTTCTAGAATAACTTTTTTGTTGCTTTGCTTTTCAGATTACAATTATAATTTCTATTTGGTCATTATTTTTTCCATTGCTTTCAAGAAAATTTTTGCATTAGAAAGAGATTTTCTATAGCAGCTTTCAAAAAAATTACTTTATCCACAATTAATTTACAATCACCTTTACAAAAAATTACAATCATCCCAAACAGACCCTCAATATATCATTTAGTGCTCTGCTAACTCAAACATATTATGTTGACAAGGTAGATGCCCTCTATTACATGAACATCTTACCATAGAAGAGTTGAATTGCCTAATAATTAAAAAGCATCACATAACATTAACATTTAATGTGCAAAAGCTATGTCATTACCTACTCTCACAGAATCAATCTAATCATAAAGAAATACTTGATGTAATATCTGGTGAACAAGCCGACTCTACAAGATTGCTTAGTCCCAAGGGAGATGATCCTACTACAACTTGACATAATATATATCCCTAAAAATAATTTTTAAGGAACTCAAGATTTAGGAGTTTGTTTTGCTTTAACTTTCACATCTCTCTAACAATCACATTGAAATAAAATAGGAAGGAGACCTTACCATCGATGATCACAGCCATAGTTCAAACACAGTTCCACTGCAACTATTTAGTAATTGTAGATAAATCTCTATACAGTTCTCTTCATGGAGATCCATAGTGTATAATGATAGAGAAATGACAATTTACAGGAGGATACACCAGTTGTGAAATTGGAGGGTCAATTCCTATTTTAAAACCAAGCACAAAGTATATTGAGGGATGTATATTGACTTGTGTGGTATATTTCATTGTATATTCTTTGGAATTACAATGTAATCCCTATATAATTCTTGTTGAATAATAAAGTGTTACCACTCTCATTATAATGAATAGACCACAACAAATTTAATTGTTTTCTTTTGTGGTGTCCACTTTTCTTTCTTTCTTATCAAACTACACATTGCTTTTGATTCATCCTACTTGTAGGCTGATTCTTGAGGGCTCTCAATCTTCCCAATAAACTGAATGATTACTCTTGTTAACACACTTTCTTCAAGTAGAATTTAGAACCACAATTAACACTTGCAGTCCTAATGACAACAAGAAAAGTGATATTTACATTTACACAGACTTCCATCATATGAAAAAAGATTTTTTGAAGAATCACTTTCTGCTTCATATAATAGAACTCGCAATCAACTTGTTAACTCATGGATATTCTCATTTATGAATGTGTCATCAGGATATAACTAGATTAAGTTGGCACTCGATGATCAGAAACATATTACTTTTAGAATTCTCATCAACTTATACTATTACAAGGTGATGCTCTTTGGCCTAAAAAAACATTCAAGCAATCTATCAACAAGGTATATCATACATCTTCGATAACCCCATGCACAAATAGATGGAGTGTTACAATAATGACATGTCATCAAAGGCTTTTGTCATGATGATCAACAAATTACAAATCATCTTTGAACAACTCTATAAGTTTAATATATTTAATAAGAATCCACTCGAAAGCTTTCATTTCAAATATTACATCAAGCACTATATGCTATATCCTCCAATCCTAGTAGCTTTAATTTCTAATAGACTCATGCATCTTCAAGAATAATTTTTTTATTGCTTTGCTTTTCAAATCACAACTATAATTTCTATTTGGTCATTGTTTTTTCTACTGCTTTCAAGAATCTTTTTGCATTAGAAAATTGTTTTCTATAGCAGCTTTCCAAAAAGTTATTTTTTCCACAATTTCTTTACAATCACTTTTACAAAAAACTACAGTCATCCCAAACAGACCCTCAATTACATATTACATTGACAAGGTAGATGCCCTCTATTACATGAACATATTACCATAGAAGAATTGAATTGCCCAATAATTAAAAAGCATCACATAACATTAACATTTAATGTGCAAAAGCTATGTCATTACCTACTCTCACAGAATCAATCTAGTCATAAAGAAATACTTGATGTAATATCTGGTGAACAAGCCGACTCTACAAGATTGCTTAGTCCGAAGGGTGATGATCCTACTACAACTTGACATAATATATATCCCTAAAAATAATTTTTTAAGGTACTCAAGATTTAGGAGTTTGTTTTGCTTTAACTTTTACATCTCTCTAACAAAGTATCACATTGAAATAAAATAGGAAGGAGACCTTTCCATCGATGATGACAGCCATAGTTCAAATACAGTTCCACTGCAACTATTTAGTAATTGTAGATAAATCTCTATACAGTTCTCTTCATGGAGATCCATAGTGTATAATGATAGAGAAATGACAATTTACAGGAGGATACACCAGTTGTGAAACTCATATGCGATCAAACAATGCCAATTCTCAGTTTCAGAACCAAAAGACTAAACAATACCAAGTTGAATCAACAAAAAAATTTCCAAAACCAAGAATCAGAATCAGGAAAAGAGCAGAGGCAAAGCAATTTGAAGGTTAAGACTTCGTTTAGGACGGCTTTCTTATTGCTTCTTAAAGCGACTTTCAAGTTAAAAAATTTAAATATTTGCACTAAAAAGCTGATTTAAGAAGCAGCAAGAAAGTCGTCCCAAACGAAGGTTAAAACTTACTAGAAGTAGCTCGAACCGTTGCTCAAATACTAGGATCAGGTCATACTTGTCTTCAATAATCACCACTGTGTAAACCAACTAAAGAGGGCTAAAAGGTTCGGGTGGTGGCTCGAACCGGTGGTCGAATACTGGGCTCTGGTCAGACTTGTCTTCAACGCTGAGTAGCCAATTTGTGTTCTTCAAATCCTCTTTCAGAAGCATTGCATCATACCGGGAGCTTCCATAGAGATCAAAATCATTCTCCTTTGCAATAACACAATCCTTGCTCATTTGTTTTTCTGCAACGACTTCGGTCTCCATGACAATTCCACTGCAACTACGAGTCTCTGACAGAGCTTCATCATTTGTGACTGGAACTATGGGTTCCGAGCCACGAGTTGGACGTGATTTGGGAGCATTTCCATAGCGGATACTATGCGGAAAAATGGTGTTAGCTCTGATTCCTCCCATGCTTTGTCTAATATCCTGAGGTGGAGATCAGTGTAAAGGATTAGGCTAACAATTAGTTATTTTTTAAACATTTAAATCTCATAATAATTGATTCGTTGAAATATATCTATCAAATAGGAACTATTGAGAACATTTCAAAACATTCAATTTACACATAAATTGCATTTCATGATATCTGCTTCCTTTCTCATGAAAAAGGTACTACTTAACCATTGTATTATTTCATAAATTAAGAATCAGAACATTACTGGCAAAAAATGAAACGAGTATTTTCAGAATCATAATATTCTCCCACTACCCTCGCATTCCTAACGACAACTGTCAGGGAGAGAAGCATGATATGGACAAAAGCTATGAGACCAGAAAATCCCCACTTGGTTATTTATTCCTTCAGACTTCTCCACTACATCTCATCCTAAAGGGCTGTTTGGTAGCAGGATTTAGACCAGATTTGAGATGGATTTAAGCGAAATCCAACCAACACGGCCTAAAATGCAAAACCAAATCTCATGGAAAAAGAAAGCCGCCGTAGATGGAAAATTCCGCCTTTTCGTGTTAAATCCGGAAGTCCAAAATCCAACTTTTTTGCCGGATTTACGAAATTCAATAACTCGAGAGGAAGAGTCCGCTAGTTAAATTCGCTCTATAACAAAACGGTCACATTGGATTTAATAGGATTTATCATGAATGTTACCAAACAATTTTCAGGATTTAGGCTCCTCATGATGTCCAAAATCTAAATTTAGCGGATTTACGAAATCCTACTTAAATCAAATCCTGGGTGCTACCAAACACAGCCCCTAAGAGTGGACCAGTCATAAGAGAAAATATTCGGTGAATATTGCATTATCACTGTTGCAACTAGAGAGTTGGATATATGTAGAAAAAAGAAAGAATTATTAAATATCTCTAGCACTCGCTGTCTGGCCTCCCTTCCTCGGTCTAATCACAAAGCGGCTACTTATAATACTCCCTTAACATTCTTTCCATAGTGAGATTTAGCCACATACAAGTCAAGAACAAACAGAAGGCACCCTGAAAAGATGAATTTTGTAAAATAACACGGCTCGCAAATCAACACTTTGTTTGAGAACATACCATGTGCCTAAGAGCCATGTCCAGAGACATTTTTGATATTGTTCTACCGAACCCATTGCTCTCAGTTAAGCTTGCTTTGGAAGCCCGTTGGACCATCGGATCTGGAACTATTGGCTTTTGAATTTCAAGCAGCACTGCGTCATGATCATTTTTAGAAGACCGAACTTTCATTGAGTTCTCTGGCAACTTACTTCGAGTAACAACAGGTAAGGAGTGCCTTCGGCCTGAACCAGCAGAAGCTGGGGCCTCGGAATTTGAGCTTGCCCTTGCTATCAGAGCCATTCCTGGTCTTGGCCTGCCAGCAGAAGTTGGCCTTTCTGGCAATTTCGTTCTCAGATTTGGAGGAGTATCGTGAGGGAAATCCGGAATATCAAATGGCATCACAGGAGAAGGGGCAGAGTTCCTGCTTGCAGGAAGCTTGCCAGCTGATGGGGATCTCCCTACATTATTTGCTGGCGATGCTGAAATTCCTGGGGTGTTTGGTCGGCGCGTAGGAGTTGATGGCCTAGAAGTGGATCGAACTACAGATGAATTTACATTTGTGGCAGAGATAGAAGGAAGTTGAGGCCGACCATTGGGTGTTGAGGACCTAGAACTTTGTGAAGGACGAGTCTTTTCTCCAGGAGAGGTAATGCTTGGCCTAGTTTTGGAAGGATTGGTAGAGCGTGCCTGTACAGGACGAGAAACTGCAGATGCTTTTGTAGAAGATGCAGAACCTGAACGGTTGAGAGGAGTAGATGGTCGTGATGGAGTGGTGGGTCTGGATGTGACAGAAACTGTGCTGGAGTTCAGAGCTGAAGTTCTGTGGTTAAACAGTGAGTTTGAATGAGTGCAGGATATGGATGGACGGTTAACTGAGCTACTTCTGATGGGTCTGGCAGAATGGCCATTCTCTGATTGAGAAGCTGATAGCTGTAGAGAAGAGAAGAGAAGGATATTTCATTAGTTCTGCACACAAGTTAGCAAGCCCTAGCAAAAAAAATTTGGTTACTGTTAAAAACTGTTTAATCCTTATCGACAATGTTCCACTTTTCTGAGTTCGTATGCATGGTAATTTTTTTTATGAAGTTCTGGCATTCAGAGAAAGTTACACCTATCAATTTGCTTTACTAAATAGAAAACAAGAGATTGTCATATATAAACAAAATTTGAATCATGGCATCTATGTAGTAGGATCATCATCTTTTTCATAATTAACCTCATCTAAACTATTCAGAGCTAGCTTCATGAATCCTCCTCTTCTACTCTTTTCTATTGAATGCCAAATGAGATTATAACTATATTTTGTGCCAACTTCTAACCATATTACCTTTAATTTATCCCTTCGCATTAGTTCATTCTCATCTTTTGATACAAAATGTGCTATATACTATATGTCTACACTAACAAATATATTTTTAACTAGTTTATCTTCAATTAGTGTTACTCTTATTATCTCATTAATATAATCATTTCTCGCTTTTCATTTCCTAATTTTATCAAGCATCAAATTTAAACATTCTTATTTTTACCACTCTCAAAATAGATATCTTTGAATCTTAATTCCACTGTTCTAAGATTCATCTATCATAGGCAATCAAATTATTATTTAATAAGATATAAGGTCAAATTTCTATGATATTCTCCCATTTTATTACAATCCTGAGTCATTGTCATTTCGACAGCCATTTTTAACTACAAAAGTTATATCTACATTTAAATATATATTATTTTATAATAGATTCAAGATACTTCAATGTACCATATTTTTGCATTTCTTGATCTTCTATAATATTGACTAATAATTATAAATTTAACATCCACTAAATTGAATGTCATGTACTCCGTCTTTATTTATATAATCCCTAACAAATTACCCTAAAAAAGTTTATTTTGTTGTTCTAACTTTTCACTAAAGAAGTTATTTTAATAATTAGAATTATGACAATTGCAAATAGTATATCAAGACTTTTTTTAATCATCTATAGCAGTTTCGTTCATCAAGCGTTATATTTCATTTATTAGCGCTCTTTATTTATCAATATTTTAATTGTCATGAGCTATATGAATATTTGTTATTTAAAATAAGATAAATTATTAATCTTATCTTTTAGGATCTTTATTATAAATAGAACTCTAAGGTCATGCAATATTCAGCCTACGAGATTATGATTATGATGCTTCGCTAATTGCAGATCTCTCTCCAAGTTATTTGTGTGAAGTTCTTCCTTTCCTCTCCTTTCCCATTTTTCAATTATTCAAGTCTTCCACAAGACTTTCATTATGTATCAAGTGAGATCAAAGCCCAACATCATTCTCAAAATCATTAATGGCAATTCAATAAGATGATATTTAGTGTTGTGATGAAGATCAATCTCAAAAAATCTATTAAGTTCACGATACTATGTGCTTCTAACTTTATATTTTTAAGTCATTAGCTGCACAGTTGTGGAAATATTTTCTTCTAGGGTCCCTCCATGATTCATAATTAACACAATCCCTAAAACCCAAGCCCCATATAACTCCACCTCCCTATAGAGTTACCAAGCCCCATAACCTTCTGTTGCCATAAATTTCATATTACCAGAGCCTCACTCAGCCATCTATGGCCTTTTTCTCACTTTTTTCTCTCGCTTGTACCCACTCTTGACAAATTTCATAGGATTCTACTAGAGCAAATGACTATTTAAAGCTTAATCTTGAAATTATATTCAAGTGAATTTTAAACCCTTTTTTATTCCTAAAATATAGGAAATCCTAACTACCTAAAATTCAAATTCCTACCCATGCATCCGAAATCCCTTTTCTCTCTCTAAGCTTTGGTCACCTACTTCTAAGAGAAAACACCTAAGATATTCCATCTACCTCTTTCTCTAAAACTAATACAAACCCTCCCTCTCTCTCTCTCTAAATATATAACGGACCATTATTACTCTCTCTCTCTCTTGCAAACCCACCCAGTTTCTCTTTCAAAAAAAACAAAAAATCAAAAGCTCATGATCTCTCGTTATCTCTCAACAAAAGTTCTCATTATTTCTCTAACAAGATAAAACCCTAACCCTAACCATCATAAAATACTATCCATTCAAAAATAAACCATAAATCCACCAAAAAGACATGAGGTTTGGGAAAAAAAAAAATAGAATAAAGTTATATCGATCTTCACCATCAACCCAACACTTTTTGATCTTTCAAAATAATCCATTCCATTGTTGTCTATACCATTTAGAAAACAAAAATATACTCTATGGTAGATCTTCCTAAGATAAAACAGCAATTAGTTTTCTAATATTATCATATTTTTCTAAACATATATTCTATTTCGACTCTTACAATGACTCTCCAATAATTAGGATAATCCGAACATCATCATTGTTCATAAAAGTTGGTAAGAATGTAATATCCAGAATTTTTAGGTATGCAAATTTAATTTAAATTAATTAAGTAATTATATTCTAAAATTTATTTAAAAGTTTAAGGTGAAATGGATGTTAAATTAGTAGTAATTAGTTAAATAATAAAATTACTCCTAAGTATTTTGGTTGTATTGAATGAAATCAAGCAAAGCATAATAGGCATCCTTTGGCTTCACCCTTTCATGTTAACAGGATAAGGATTAGGTTCAGTTATATGCTGGCGTGAGAAACAGAAGATTAGAGTGGCTCTGCTCTTGGGAATTCCGTGGAAGTGGCTTTGCTAGGGAGCGGCTCTGCTAGGGAAATTTCTTCAGCATTAGAAGCGGATAGTTCCAACTTTTGTTTTTCTTTCATTGAGGACACCAAACCGAATACCTGTAGAAAGATTCGGCCAATGCAGAGAAGGGAAATTTCAGAAATTAATGCTGTATGAGATGGCACAATGCATTTCTATAGTAGAAAATCAAAACAGTGCATGAATCACTGTGGGAAGAGCAATATAGTGTTTCAAACACAGAAGCAGCAGGCGGAATTGCTGGAGTGTGGCAGCAGAATTTTTCTGTAAATAGTCCAGCCTCCATCAGACAGCATAGTGCAGTATAAGAGAGTAGAAAAGGAATTTAACAAGAGGAATTCAGCACTGCATATGTAAGGGAATTTGGTTGTACAGTGAAGGAAGATTAAACAGTTAGATTGGAAGAAGAAGGAATAATATAGAAGTGAAGGAAAAGAAAGAATGATTATTCACATATTTATGTAGAAAGAGGATTTTGGGTAGGGTTTTTGGAGCAGTAGAAAGAAAGAGTGGAAGTAAAGAACAATAGATAGAAATAGAAGAAGGAAATAGATTCATTTGGTTATATGTAGACAAAAAAAAAAGATTATGAGGTAAATGACTATATCTATGTATGAATTGATCTTTATGCAAATTATTTGAGTACTAAATTTCAGTAATTATAAAGTGGAGTGATGACTTGTAGGTGACTTACAATCATAGGAGAATACGAAGTAGAGGATTGGAAGAGACTCTTCACCAAAGAGGTAAGGAATGCAAATTTAATGTTTAAAAGAATATTATCAAATTCTACTTGTAGATTGATAATTGATTGTTAGTGACTGATTGAAAGAAAGGAACTTATATGTTGCAAGTAATTTATTTTGCTTTAGAATGTTTTATCCAAGATTTTAAGTATGAACTACTGCTAATAAAATTCTACCATATGGGTTCAAGACAATGTTTTGTGCACTCATCTAAAGATTTTTCTATTTGAGAATGTTTTAGAAGGATGTCAAATTCCTTGAAAAACTGATGCATATTAATTTTATACAAGATATATATCATGAATGATGATGAAGGCAAATATGATATGTGATTATGAAAGAATGTTGAATACTAAATTAATGTAAAATTTGGCTATATCTAATGTATGTTTTACCAATATAGTTGAGATAAAAGGGTTCTCATACAAGAACTACATGGTAAGTGGGGCAAAAGGGACCCCAGGAATTATGGTACCTACTTGGCAAGTGGGGTTAAAAGGGACCCCAAAGAGGCAAAAGGGTCCTCTATGAATTTCAATTGCGATAATGCTAGGTTTACCTGGGCTCCATTGAATAAAATTAAGAAAGTATAGACAAATCTTTCACAGAAAATTTATATTCAATAGAAATCCAAAATCAATGAAGCATAATGTTAATTATGACTTACAATATTTTCAGTAATGATTTCAATATTTTAATTTATTCCTATTATGACATTTTAATTGTTAATTAATTTGTATAATTTATTGAGCCTCAAAGCTTACCAGTATTTTCTTACTATCTATTGTTACAGGAAAGGGAAAGGAGAAGATTAATGCAAGTTAATTTATGCAAGTGTTTCTTCATTTCATATTAAAGTTATATTTGTTAGTGAGTCTACTTTTGGAGGTATGAAACATTTCAGTCTTGTATTAGGTTATTGTTGTAGTGGCTCTGTAAGTTTATATTTGGATTAACTGAATATTAGATGCTTCCATATATTCAGTGAATGATCAGTTATTAGAATTTTATAAATTCTATACTCAATGAATGTATGTAAATGTTTAATGATGAGAAGAATGAAAGTTATGATAGTGATACCTGACAGTATTATTATTAAGTGATACTGTGGAGTGTTACAAAGAATGCACTCATTTTTAAAGCATTTGATATCCTCTAAATCAGAGACATTTCATAAATAAATTCACTTACCAAAAACTCTAATATCTCCCATGACTATCCAAATTATATGGGTTTAGATATTTCTCATTTTCGCATCTTCTTTTACAACTAACTTTTCACTGTTAGGATCAAATTTATAATTTTCTTCATGACTTCATTTGTTTTTACACCTTAAAATAAATATCTTAAATCTCATATGCAATAATTTTTCATGAAATAATTTTTTTATCTTCTCATTTATAGAAGTGTGAAAAATATTTTGGCAAATAAGCGTATCGCTTCATATACCTCAACAAGGATAAATGAAGAATGGGATTCATAATGCTTACTTTGAATAATTGGGATAAGGATAAGGATAATGATGATGATAATCTTTTATTTATGTCTTCATCTACAGCTAAAGGAGACTTCATTTTTCATGCATCTAGTTTGATCAACAACAACAACATCTAGCCTTAATCACACTACATGGGGTCGGCAACATTAATCATTTTTTATTGTGTCATGTTAAGAGTAAAATTCTTATTCAAATCTAATAAACAAAGATCATTTCTAATACTTTATAATCAAATCTTTTTAGGTCTGCTTTACTTTTGTTAACATAGGTCAAATCTAATATGTATACTCTCCTAACTAGGTCATCGAAAGGCTGACCTTTTATGTGACCAAACCATCTAAGGTGATTCTCTCTAGTCTTATTTGCCACTGGGGCTACTCCAACCATTTCATGTATATACTCGTTTGGCATTCTACCTCTAAGTATAAAACTACTCATCCACTTGAGCATCCTCATCTCTACAACACTTAACTTAATCTTGGCTTCTCTTTTAATGGCCAACATTCTGCTCCATAAAGCATTGCATGCACGCCTAATTTGACCAAAGTGGCTAGATCTCTTTTCTTTTACCAAATTTATTATATACAATTATTAGCATCTCTCATTCAATTTGCAAATCTCTAGCTTTTTATATTCATTCAGTCTCGATATTATTTGTCATCTCCATTCTTAGAAAGAACATTTCATTTAAAAGTTTCTAAGTACGGGATATTTCTTTTCTTTTCTTTTTTTCTTTCAACTTTATATTGGATAGGCATCAATTGTTGAGTGACAAAGAAGCTCTCAATAAGAAACCGATAGATAAAAAAAATGTGACTGAAGCTGCAGTTTGCTTCGCCTGATCTACTTGGAGCTAATTGATGTCAAGGATGAATCCTACACAATTATTAGGAAGCTATTCCCTAGTTAACTATATGTCAAGGAAGCGTAACAAGTTAAGTTACTTTTGGTAAGCTTCCATTTAATGGATGATATGAAAAATAGAACATACAAAATGCACTAGAAACAAATATGAAGGAATGGTTCATACCCTTGAAGCTCTGGAAGTCGAGGTTGACTTCGCGGTGGATTGGTTCTTTTTACCTGTTGAGGATAGTTGGTTCTCACTAGAATCCGAGGAAGGAAAGATAGGAGTCCCTGGGGGAGTGAGAAGCCTATAAAGAGAAAACCTAAACCATCAGAATGACATGGTATAATGCATGCTAAGAAGCTGAGGCAAATTGATTCCAAGCATTGAACCGTAGGGCAAGTAACTAAACAGGGCAAAGGAGAAATTTTACAGTGCAAAAAATGTAACCACACTCCAGCATTATATACCATTCCGAAATAAAAAAAGAATGAACAAATAGCAAAAGGCCATTTAGCTGAAAAGGCAACCCAAACAATAAAACGTCAATACTACTTTAAACATGATAAAGGAATCATCAGCTGTGAATGAATAACTCAAATGATATTGCTTTTAGCATTTCAAAGAGAACATAAAGGCTCAAATCCTTTCAAACAAAAATGATACTAGCCTTTTCCTCACCAACATATCAATTTATTTGAAGAATCAATCAAATAAATATCCAAAATATTTTTCAAAGCATAGATGGGCATCTATTCTGCTAAATAATTTACGACTATGAGCTGCATGTGCATTTGACACTTACCAAATAGAAAACAACATAAATGTTTAAGATACCTCTACCAAATGGGGGAATTAGGATTTAAAGAGAGAGGTGGCAAAATAAAAATCCAACTAAAATAATTTGAAATTAGAAATTTAACTTTTTGAATAAACATAAGTAAACAAAAACGATTAAATGAAAAGTTTATCAAAAAAAGTATAGCCTACCAAAAAAAAACCTTTTTTTTTAATTTAACTATTATGATTAGCCATTTTAAACTACACTTGATTTATATCAACATCATCAACTATTACTACCTCAAACTTCAATAATGTCATTCTCATTATACATTACCAATAAACTTGCAAGAAAATTATCTTTCATCTTAATCATTAGAAATTTCTATTTAATATTAGTCATTACTCATTAGGATTCCTTATAGCTATTGATTTACTTTAATTTTGCATTCAAAAATTTATAGTTTCTCATTCTCCAAATTAAATTGCTAATTTATTTTTAATACTCAGGAGAATCAATCTCTATGGGATGATATATTTTCTCATTATTTTATTACTAGCATAATTTCGTTTTGTACTCTTGCATGTATCAATTCTACATCAACAACTCACATAAAACTCCAACTTCATCGGAACAAAAGAAAATTTTATAGAGAGGGGGATTAAGGAAACCAACATTATGGAATAGATTATTAGATCGATCCTAACATAAGCTTCCGGACATATAGTATTAAATAGAAACAATGGTCATGCATTTGAGTTAATTGACTTGGGTAGACCAAGTTGAGCTATTTATCCATTGCCATACTATTTTTATTATTTTTCTTTATGTCATTTATAAGGGATTGGATTATTTTCGATTATGTTGTTTAATAGTTAATGATTGAGTTTTGAGTGGGATTAAGCATAAGTCGTGCACTAAAGAATGTTGAGCAAAACTATCCTAAGTAAAGTTATAACTTCAAGAGGTTTGTTATGATATTTTACAATCATTGGGTATGCATCCTTCCTCCATACTCTTTAAATTTTTTTGCAAAAGTTGATAGCATCAAAAAAACCCCTAAAGAGTGAAGGAGAAGGGGTTGCTTCTAAGATGAGAAAAGTTTGGGATGGCATGCATCTATTTATCTTATACTTTGCTTGGCAACTGAGTTTTAAAAAATTCTTGATATAAATTCGACTTAATATTTAGAATTTAAAAATTGAATTACATGATCAAAAATTATATTATAAGTCGCTCTTTAAATAAGAGTTAGACATAAGTTTTCTTGAAGCTCTAAAGTAAGAACATTCAAAATTATATTAAAGCTTGAAGGAGTTTTCCTAGATTAGTAAAACTAAGGATCGTTCTTCTAAGAGCACAATTTAGTAATGAGGATTTCGAACAAGTCCAAAACTATTCCCTAATGCGAATTCAAGTTCTATTATGATTCATGAAGCGAGCATCAATGTTTTTTATCCTTGAGAGATGAACAAAGCATGATAATCTTTATATTGAACCGAGTTGGCCCAATAAATATGCATGAATTGTTTCTATTGATAGATGTTTGAACCAAGATAGCCTATATAGTTGGTGATTAGTTGAGGTTTAGCTAACTCGACTGAGATTAATTATTTCTAATTTTACAAGATTCAATTAGCCCAATTAATATCATTTGATCAAAATGAGCGATCAAACAAAGCAATCATATTGAGTTACCATACTAAGTAATCGATATGAAATATCGAATTAGCTTATTTTCCTGGATCTAAATATTTTTTTTAATTGCTAAACTTTTTTAGTTAAGCTGGGACTACCCAACATTTGTAAGAGATTAATTTTCTCAATAAATATGGTTGAGCAAAGTTTTCTATATTGTGTTTTCTAGCAAGTTTTCGAGTTGTATATCTTGTCAATTATGATGTTTTTGTTCATTTTTGCATCTTCATGATTTAACGAGTTCGCAGAGTATAACTATATTTGGATTTAGTGCTTTATTATTTTTGTGAAAGTTTATGCCAAAGCATTTTAGATTATGCTATGTGGACTCATTTTAGAGCGAAATAGATTAATTTTTTTAGCCCATACTTTTTGTTTGAAACCTTTTAAGCACTTGATTATAATTTTTGAGCCTTTATCAACCACATAACCATTCTTAGTTTAAGGGATAATACAATTACTGCATGCTTGTGAATTCGAACCCTCTTGAGATTTCTTCATCCCAAATCTTATAAAGTGAGTCTTGATCTCTCAATCATGACTAGATGCTCAATTTCCAACTTCTCAACCCCCCCACCCCCCCCTCTTCCCTTCCCCTTTCCCTTCTCACACTAGCAGTCCAAGGTTCTCGATATATAGTAGCAATCCCTCTATTAGAGTGCCAAACCAAGTCGAATACAAATGGGTCAGGGCATCTTGAAATAAAATAATCTCATATTTTCCAGCATAACAGCAGTGTTTTCACTAATATCAAAGCGTGGGCTCTACAAATTTATGCCCTAGTCTTCGTTGAGAAAGTTTTGATGTTTCTCATCAAATTTTCAGAAGGCATATTAGATTGAAGACAGAACATTACTTAGGTATTTTTCCCTCTTTTTGCAAGGACTTTATGATTTTGTTCTAGATTTCCTATAAACATAAGTCCCTATGGTTATTTACCTCTCCGAGTGATAAGAAAGAACTTTTAATTAAGGCTAATCATCAGATAAACACTAAATGCTCAGCATATAGTAACAATAAATTTGATATAGGATTTGAAAGTTATCAATGTACACATAAAGAAGGTGATGATGGGAGAATAATTATAAAATAAATCAATAATTCATGATTCCGTCATCCCGAGATGTCATGATCCATGGTCTACTTAATTAAAAGAGGTAGTCGGCCCAACCTGATTGAAGAATTATTATTGGCATTCATGGGTTGTTTCATCTAAAGAAACCCAAGTGCTCGGTAGAATAGCAATAAATTTGATATGGGATTTAAAATTTATCATCGTACACTTTTGATTGAGGCTAGTTATCAAATAAATAATAAGTCTTCGATAAATTGTAGCAATAAATTTGTGATAGGGTTTTTAATTTATCACCGTACACTTAAAGATGGTGATTAGGGGAGAATAATGATGAAATTAATCAAGATCTCATTATCCTGTCATCCCGAGATGTCACGATCCATAATTTACTTAGTCAAAAGAGGCAGTGACCCACCCTAATCGAAGAATAATTTTTGGCAGTCATGGGTTGTTTCATCTAAAGAAGTCTTATAAACTTGGGATAAGTGTTTTTCTGAGGGGATAAATTTAAATTAATCTTAGCTAACATAGAGCTTTGCGTCCTATCAAGTGCATCATATGACTCATTAGATTTTTAACCATCGGGAAAACTATGGGTTCTGACCGTGATTGTAATTTAATGGTGTTATTTTGTCACAAAACTATCTAGTCGGAGGGCTTCGATCATAATCGTTTACCTGTAGTTCTAGTTGGCGGCAAAACCATCGATTAAATAACACGAGTCATGTTCTTATTTGTGAAAGATCATTAGAGAATGAATCGTAGCTATATGTTCACTAAAATGTTTGCTCTCTTTGAGCTAAGATTTCTTAAATTTATCACCCTCAACAATGATCACAGAGGATGGATGGATTTTACTTTAAGTAGGGGAATCAATTTCGGGTTACGGGTCGGGTTCGGGTCGAACCCGAAACTGATCCGGCACTATTCGGGTTTGGGTCGACCTGACCCGTTTTTGCAAACGGGTCAATTTTCTGGACCCGAACTCAACCCACTTCAGGTTCGGGTCAACCCAACCTGACCCGAGGACACCGGATGCAAAAAGCGGCGCCGCGTGGAATTGCCGCGGACGCAGAACGCGGTGCAGAACTGCCACGGATGCTGGCAAGGCGGCAACTGACGTTGGACGCGGCGCGACATGGCTTTGAAACGCGATGCGACCTGTCCTCGGGACACAACGCAAAGTGATGCTTCCAGGCAGGCGGGCGCTGGGCAGCCGGGAAGCAGGCAGTGGCATTACGAGTAAACGGGTTTGTGTGCATTCCGGGTCATTTCGGGTTATTCTTGAGTTACCGGGTCAACCCGAACTCGACCCGATTTTTCAAACGGGTCGATTATCAAGACCCGAACCCGACCCGCTTCAGGTTCGGGTCAACCCAAACCCGAAATTTTCGGGTTGGGTTTTCGGGTTAGGTCCAATGTTGACAGGTCTAACTTTAAGCTAATAAGGGTAGCATTCACTTGAATATTTAGATTTTGACAAACATGAATTTCTTTAAATTTCATTATAGTTCAAGCCCGAAATGATTAAATTCAAAATTTGGGGAAATTCTAATTAATATAGTCTCCTTTGATTGATATTGCTTTCAATATGACTATCATCGAGGTGTTTGAATATTTTACTTTATTATTTGAATATTGTCAACTATGTCTACTTGTTAGCAGAGGATCGAGTTCAAAGGTTAAATTTGCAAGCTATCATATATCTGGTGAACTCGAGAGTTTTGTTTAGGTATGTTCGCTTAGGTACAAACAAGATAGGTTATGAATGGGATTGATGTGATCCAGTTAGTAGACCCACCACCTCAGGTTTGGCTTAAGGTGATGAGAGATCATTGATTAAAAGAGATGTTAAATGGAATTTTGATATGATATTCTTAATGTTTGAATACATATCATAGAAGAGGAATTATACCATATATAGTTTGATTAATTCTTTGATGAATGAGCGAGCCATCTCTTCTATTATTAAAAATTCACTCCCTAATAAGGTTGAGAAAAGATTTCTACATGATGTGATGTCTTATTCATGAACCGAGTATATAATGGGATGTTAGGTTTCCTTTCTCTCTGCTCTAGCATAATTTCCCTCTCTCAACCTCTTTATCATCTGAAATCCTCCTCCATTTATGATCATTTAAATAGGGTTTGATGATGATTAATTAAACCTTTATGCCATGAAATGGTTCAATGCATAATATTTGCCTCCATGCTATTAAGTAATTCTTCAAGCATGCAAAAAATCAAATGCTAATGCTATGAATGGCAATCAAAGAACAAAGAAACCAAAGAGCATAATCCGATGAAATACTATTTGAGTTTCTCTTGACAAGGAAAGGCTTGGTTGAGCCGAACAAATGCTTAGGTAAGTGTAGACTTAGCACCTAGCTCAATAAAGAGGTAACACCAATAAGAGGTTGGGATATCTAGAGAAGTCGTCTTGATATATTCTATTTTGAATTACGATCTCTTTATCCATGGAAGCTATTTAAAGGCCTTCTATACGTGTGATGATTTAGGGGTTAATACCTAGTCTCCTCTACAAGTAACCATGATCTCCCTCTCCCCTTGTCTCCTCTTCCACTTCCCTCTTACTCAATAACAATACTTGGAACATTAGTGGTTAACATTCAGTGTCGAGTGCACATTAAATGGAAAAGTTGGGTAATACTTCAATGACCAAATCCATTTGTAATCTAAAAACCTAAGTTATTGGTGGGTACGTCAACTTGGTACTTAATACCAATAGATTTTTCAATTATCCAAAATGGGATGATATCAATAATATTAGATGTCCTAACAAATATCTGCTCTCACATGAGAGCTCTCCGCATCAATCACAACTCTCCAACGACAAAAAAAAAAATCACCATCACTTTCCATGCATCAAGAACCCACTTGATCATATGAAGCTTCTATAAGAGCTGTATACTCTTGAAACTTGCTCAACAATGATTAAAGAAACAAACACCCATCAAAATCACAAACCACATAACTATCCGGTCCTAGACAAACCATCGTCTATATGATACCACATTTTTGGGATTGTCGATGATACTAATGCTATGTTTAATACCCTAGCGGTCAAACCCATTACAATCCACAAGGTGAAGCATATAAGTGACGCAACCAATTGTTATTTCTATACAAACATATTATTTAACTATCCAATGTGGGACTAAACTCACTCTTATAGGTGTTATGCTAACATTGAGAACTGTACTACATAACAAATGTTCTTTGAACATACATCTAAAGAAAATATCATTTTTTCACTGATATTAAGATCTATATTCCAGAAAGAAAGCACGCTAGGGCATAGATCAACTTCTATGAAGGGCTTGCATGAAAAGACTTTGTGCGCCATAAACAACAATGGAAAACACTTAAGAAGAAATCATAAGTAAACTAGATTGAACTTTGGGCAAACAATACGAATCACTTCATGCAAGATTGAGAGAATGTGATCGTTGTTCAGTAAAGTATATAAGAAAGCATAAAATATTAACTTTCAAATAAATATTAGCTGTAGCATAAGCAGTACCAATCATAATCGTGTTTTCCCATTTCTGCATCTAGAAAATCATCCGTTCTGATATTTCCTTTTATCGTTGATCCAACTGATAAATTCTTGATTGATCCTGAAACAACAGCTAGTGAACATTAACTATTGCTACCAAATCAGAAATTCACCATTATGGTCTTCCGTTAACTTGACTTTCTAAATCACCAAATCAGATGCTCCAAAATCAGTTCAAATACCAAATATCACCAAATTCCAACAAAACCAATCAAAGGAATCAGAACAAAAGAATAAAAAATGGCTAGCAATCTTAGAAGTAGAGCATCAAAGGTAAAAACAATAATAACACTCAAAGAAAACGTTTTCATCAACTAAGTTCAAACCATGTTGATCTAGAAGGTATTAGCAATCCTAATCAAATCAAACAACCAGCATAACCCTGCAGCAAAAAAAGCAACGATCGGTACCATTCTGCACGCCGCTTTCTCCGAGCGAGCCGACCAGAGTGGCGCTGCGCCTCCTCAAAAACAGATCCAGGCCCTCTTCCCCTTCTGCGGCAATGGCGCTGACGCCACCCCTCATGGATACACCGTGGGCCGGTTCGACGACGATCCTGCTTGTTCCCATCTCTCCAGAGTGTCTAGCTCCGATCTGCAATAGAGCAACCTCTAGAATTCTGTGCGCGTGAGAGAGCGACAGAGAAGAAAAATGGAGGGAGAGCTCATAGATCTGCGGAGAGGTAAGGAAACTGAGTCTTCTTTGGTGAGTACATTTATTAATCCCGTCGTTAACTGGACGTAAGTCATCTTAACGGGAGGATTTATAAATGGATCACTTCAAAGATAAATCTAACGGGCAAATTTTCTTTCTTTTTTCTTTAATTCTCCTGTCCGCCTCGAACTGGAATTTTTATTGGCTCAGATTACCTGACGTAAGATACATCAGGTAGCCTATAAACTGATGGGACCTAAGTCAAAAAAAGATTACCTATTCATGTCTATAAGAAATTAAAAAAAATAAGATTTCTAATGTGACTTTTTTTAAAAGGTCAGCATTATATTTTCAATTTGATGAAATTTCTATAAACAACTCATTAGATGGTGGCATTTGAGAAAGTGTTGTTTATCATTTGATTTTTTTTTACATTTTTGCAATTCATAATTGATACTTTGTCAAAATAAAAAATTCATTTGATGAAGAGTAATATTTAAATAAAAAAATTCATAATCCTAGTTTAAATGAGTCTAGTAGAACATCTTGATGAGATAAATCCAATAAATGCAGTTTTGCTTCATTCTAACTTTATGAATGTACCCAAAGGATAAAGAAATGTCTTATGATCAAAGGAATTGATGTAGGATGTTCAAATGGAGTTTTTTGTATTTGAGCTATATTTATAAAGATTGACACTCAAAAATAAAAATAAACTAGCCCTCTCTACATGAAGGAAGGTGAAATTGAAGATGAGGAAGTGAGAGCTTAGAGACTTCTCAAAGCTCTGCCCGATCACACGAAACACTATCATTCAACTGCCACCATCGAGCCTCCATTTACATTCACTTGACTGTGGTCATGTAATAGGCCGTATTTTGACTCAAATAAATAATTTTTTTATGAGTCATTTTAAATTCAAATCATAAATTGTATTCGTCATAAAATAGATATTATTGTGTTTTAATTATAATAATTTTTCATAGTTTTGTGGAACTTGTGTAAATCCTTAATAAATTGATAAACATCGATACAAGTGAGGGTTTTGGGACTGTTATTTCACTTGAATAAAATAAACAACTTTATGGATATTTTTCTATAATTTTTGAAATCCCGAAAAGATTCTGATAATGTGGTAGAATTTTGAAAGATGATTTTGGTGAACTCTAAAACAGTGGATAGAAATTTATTTTAAAAATTATTAGTGCATTTTTTTAAAATTATACAATAATACTGTAATTGTTTCAGTAGTGTATAATACACTTTATTTTTAATATATGTGTTGAAAATATTTAAATTATATGAACGAACCTCTCTTAATGGCAGGAAGGGATTTTGTTGTTTGTTATATATTGAAAGTTCTTATGCCTAAAGGCTATTATAATATTTACTAAGAAGGGATTTTGTTGGAAGTAAGAAAGGATTTTGTTGGTAGAAAAAAGAGATTATGTTGTTTATTATGTATATAAAGTTAGGGCATGAGGGACATTCCGATATTCACTATGAGGTGTTTACTTACATTTCAATCAATTTTAGTACAGTTTTAATTATTTATTTAAATACTTATTTCAATTTAGTATTAGAGCCAAGTTCAATTTTAATACAGTACAATAATTATTATTATTTAGCATTTTTAACTCTTTTGGTTTGAATTATTGATTCCTATTTTAGGTTGTTGTAGCCTATTAAGCCGTGTTAGCTCACTCCTGCTTTTGCTTCTATTTTTAGGTCAGGGAAAGGGTAATGAGCAAGCTGAGTAGTTTCTAATAGCAAACTCTGATCTATGCTATAAATATATATTTTGGTTAGTTTCCTATTGGTAGGCTTGGCTTTGATTTTGTTGTACATTTCTATTATCAAGCACTAATGTAAATAGACCTCAAATTGTATCTATATTTTAAAAGATAGATAGAAAAATTATTTATGAGATTTATTAATCTTCTACTTTATATTTATAATCAGTAATGGCTCTGTGTTGTATATGATTTGGATGTTTCAATTTAACAGCATTTCTCCAACTAGAACGTGGGTCAGTCTTTGCTTCTGATCATGATCGGACACGATATGACCTATGTGATGGTTGGTTCATATCGGCTCGAGTCATGAAAAGATCTACATGCTATAATAATTGCACTAGTTTTACACATGACATGTGATAATTGTCATTATTTGATATGCATGATTTGGCAAGTGTGTGAAATAAGAAAGGCTGTGTGAAAAAGATTGGTTAATTCAGGTTTGCTGAAGACATGTTATTCTATACAAGAGAGTGAGCCGACACATTTTTTCTTTAAATAAGATTTAAAGAATGCATAATGAGAGTGACTAATATTATATGCCAACGGACATGAGAGATGACTCTTACATTAAGCCACCTGACTTGTGATTGATATGATTGATTTCTAATTATAGGACATATATTATTGATGAGATTGATTCTTGTTTAGTTTGAATTAAGGGCCTACAAGACTTGATTCAAGAAAATACCAAAGGGTCTAATGTCCTACCTTGCTTATTATTAATCTTATAAGAATATGTATAATATAATATATCATAATATGATTACTTAAAAGATATAATATGATATGACATGAATATGGTACAAGAAACAAGTGATACATGCACATAATAAGACTAATGAGATTGATACAAAATACACGACACATGATACATAACATTGATATATAATATATTTGATTCATGATATTTATACATGATATAAATGATGCATGATACACATGCAGTGATACATATCTAACATGCATTCAAAAAGATATATGAAATATGGCATCACATGATAGTCATATTGATACACATGATATAGTATAAAAATAACATTAATTTATGGTAATTAATATATAGATATAAATTCATATATGGTATATACAGAAACTAATAATTTCACTTGATATAGTACTATGAAAAACACTAGAATAAAAATAACATAACTTACTAATTCCTTTATAGTTATTGATCATATTGATTTACAATGCTTACTGATTGATGTTGGTTACCTTGATTATTACTATTCATAGTGATTGTTATTGTTCATATGAATTGATACATATTCACATTGATATTATATGAATGATTATATACATATGACTTCTATTTCGTACATTGAATGTAGTAGTAGTTTATGGTGACCAACTGGGATTTTTTATCATTATATGTAGTTTACATGATTTTAGGTAAGGGTAAGGGCCTAATGGAGTGAATCTAATCTAATATTATTGATAAGTATTTTATTTTCTATTATCTCATTTTTTGGTCATGAATGTGTAAGGATTGATAGATGTTGGAAAATATATTCATGGCAATTATATGCAATTTTTTAAGATATTAATTAAATGGATATGTATAATTGTTTTAAGATTACAAAAAATGAAAGGATATTTCTGCTACTTTATTTTTAAAATGGATGTTATTAATTACTTCGGTAGATAATTCAAAGATAAAAAATAAATTCTTCCAAATATGATTCCTATAATGTGATAATAATGG